TTGATTGACAAGCTGTTGCCACATTATYGGATATAAATATTCTCTGTTTTTCTTCCATAAGCTATAAGACATACATCATGATGTAAAACTATTATAACTCAGAGAAGCATATAGCTTGCCAGTTCTTAGTTCCTGATAGGAGTATTATATTTATTTGATTGATTTCACTTGATGTACGACTGATGAATTTTTCTATAATAAATTTTTACAATTGATTGACTGACTTTTATATGATGTAAGTCGTATGGCATGATGTACAAAGCTGAAATACATAAAAGAGAAGAATCGACTTGACTTTTGGCATGTAATGTATTTCATATCGTAGCATACATCATGATGTATGACTGATGTATGCTATAAAAACAAACACTGATAATAGACTGTGAAAAAAGTTTGTATGTAGAAAACATAAATTGTTGATGTCATTTTCAACAGCTTTGAGCTCTCAATAAATATTCATACATCACGATGTATGTATGTAATGTAGCTGACGTGCACATGAAATTCTGGCTGAAATCGTCATGTGCTCGGCCAGGCGCACCAGCTCATCTGTATGCGAATACTTTTGAGCAGTCAAGTGCTGTGGAACTGTGTCAGCTCGTTTTTGATCAATCATTGTAGTCAAAAGTAAGTTGGCTAAGAGTTATGGCTGCCGGCATGCTCGACGCATGCAATGTGGCTCTGACTGTGGCTGCAGCGCTCTCTGTGGCAAGCTTAAGTTATGCGCGGGCAGCTGCTCGTGCGTGCCCTTGCGGCTGCACCATCCATCTTGCCACAAACAACTAGCGGCACACGAGTCGATTTCATTTCATTTCATTCATTTGTTTGCGCATGCGTTGCCCAAACACTTTGCATACTTTACAATCAACGTCGCTCTCTCTCTCTCTCACTCTCCCCCCCTGCCTCTCCCATCACCATCTGGCGTCTCCCTCTGTCATCGCATATCGTTTTAGATGGGCTGGGATGGGTCCCGGTCTAGCGCAGCATTTCGAACGCCTCACTTCGTGATGCTATTTGCTGATCTACGATTTTGTTTTCGTTTGGAAAGTGCGTGTGTTACTTGTGTATTTTCTTTCATACTTCTTATACCCCGCGCCCATTCAACCCACATGGGGTATATCGTTGTGTCTGACAGTTTCTATCCCAGGCAGAAGAATTATTTGCTATTATTTTTCATTTATATGAAGCCATGCTGCCAAATTATTATTGTAAAACCTTTAATGGGCTAACTTCGAACTCCGAATTTTTATTGATTGATTGATGACAGCCTTTTCAGCGAGTTACCAAAAGCCTAACCTTTTCACATTAGTCGTATGCTATTAAAAACTTAAGGAAAGTAAATGTTACGGATGTTCGGATAGACTCCGAATTTATTTATGGACAAAATTGAGGTAAATTGAGGTTGTTCCATCTTTAAGCTGTGTAGGACTTGTATCAGTTTTTCAGTATAGTTATTCAATTTGGTCAAGAAAATTATCAAGCGAGTCCCGATCAACTCCGAATACATAGTTAAAGCACAGCAAGGGAATCAAATTCGGGTCAACTCCGAAATTTCATTTATTGTATATAAATTTCAATGAAGTTGCAACTAGGACAAATGTTGTTGATTTTCTAAAAGTAAAGATTTTCCAAATGCATAAGAAAACTTGCCATTGAATGATGTTCTAATGGAATTTATGGAAATTAGATTGACTCCGAAATCCCATGTTTATGCATATAATAGAAAGACTTTAATAAGGACTAATGCCTTTTGATCTGGAGAGCAGTTATATATTTTCCCATTCATATGTAATTCCTGTAAGATCATAATTCGATTTCTTTGTACTATATATACTGACTTCGAAAATGTTGATTAATTTTTTATTTATATATATTAATTTTTTTTAAACTTTCACTTTTTTCTTTTTCTAACTTTATTTCTAATTAAATAAATAAATCTGCATATGTTTTAGCTGTAGGATATGTTCTGGGCCACCAAGCTGTCGGATTTGTTTGCTAACTTTCATCTACGATCGGCAGAGCCATAAAAATAAACACATTAGGAGAGAAGAGCTGATCAGAAGAGGAAGAGCAAGAGCAGGCTGAAGAAGAAGCAGAAGTACTACACATGTAGGTACACACCGCAGAGTGTGGCGCCTCGAGGCCTCGCTCGCTGCCTTCTCAACGGTCAACTCAAAGACGAGTGAGTATCAGTTGGAGTATTCGCATGAGTACCTGTACGAGTGTGTGTGTCTGTCTGTGTGCCTGAGTAGTTGAGTGCCTGTGTTCGCACGCCCAGTTTGCCAAAAAACAAAAAAAAAAAAGAGACGGAAAAAATGTACAAAAAACGTTTCAAAACTGAGGCATGACAACAATAACAAAAGCCATAATTGATGAGTGGACCACTGCCCACTCCCTAAGCTCAGTCCCCTGCGTCTCTCCCTCCCTGCCTCTCGCTCTATCTCTTTCTCTCTTTGGGCGTTCGCTAGAGAGTGGAGCAACAGAAGAATCTTTTTGGACAGCAGCTAATTGACTTTCAATGTTTGGACCTGGTTTTTTGGCTCTTGCCGTTGCCGTCGCCGTCGCCGTCGCTGAGAAAGTGAAATTGATCGCACAGCAAGTGCCACATGCTGCATGCCTCATATGCCGTCGACTCTTGTCGAGGGCCATTCTAAGGATGGTGCTGACAAAAGGGAGCAGCAATTGGCGCAGTAGCTGGAGCTGTAGCTGTAGCTGGAGCTGGAGCAGTGCAGCCGCTTTCTAAGCCGCCTTAGCTGCGGCTGGGGATGAGTTGCATGAGTTGCAGCTTCAGTTGCAGCTTCAGCTTTTACCACGCATGCCGGCGACACTTAAAAGCGAAACGAAACGAAACGAAGCGGGCGAATATCAACAGCAACTAAAACACCAGCAAAGAGCAAGCTGTCAGAATGCTGCTCTCAAACAGTGGGCACTCGCACAGATACCCTGTAAAATTGATAATACATACTTAAATACAACTGAGTTAAGGACAACTGAACAAGTTTAACAACATTATATTATTATATATGCTATAATCATTAGCATTAGCATGATATAATTGGTATAACCATGGATTATCACAGTCATTGTCATTGTCATAAGCATTAGCTTTAAATTTAGCATTCTCATTATCATTGGCATAACTATTTGGATTATCATTCGTTTAGTATTATAATCGTAATTATTATTATTATCATCATTAGTATTAGAGTTAACATTAGCATTAGTATAAGTATTATAATTATTATTATCACTAGTAGTATTAGCATTAGCATTAGCACAGTAATTATTAGTAATCATTAGTATTACAATTAACATTAGCATTAGTATTAGTATGATTATGAGCAACAGCATCACTAGTTGTATTAGCACTAGCATTGGCAATAGTATTATCATTAGCATTAGCACAGTAATTATAATTATTATCATTAGCATTAGTATTAGAATTAACATTAGCAGTAGCATTAGTATAAGTATTAGCATTAGCAATACTAGTAGCATAAGCACTAGTATTAGCATTAGTATTAGCATTAGCATTAGCATTAGCATTAGCATATTAATTATTATTATTAGCATTAGTCTTAGTATAAGCATGAGCATTAGCATTACTAGTTGCATTATCATTATTATTAGCATTAANGTCTCTTTTGAATGGTAGGTGTTTCCACCGTTTCCAAGATCCGTGCCTCTGCTGCTGGCTCTAATTGCTTCTGCTTAGTTGCTTCAGCTTCCAGTTTCTTCCAGGAGTTCCTACAGTGTCCTAGGATATCGAGTAGTTCGTCTAGGTCGGATACCCCGCTTTTAACATCCAGACTGATGTTTTTTTGTTTAGCGACAGCGGTCTTTATGCGCCGCAGCGCCTGGCGACATTTTAGAATGGCATCCTCTTCCTCGGCCCGGAGTTTCAACATGTACTCATGCCTTGGAGAGATTACCGCCTCTGCAACAGTGTTTGGGACACCTACTTCAGCGGCAGCGGTTTTTGGAGTTTCCTCCACACTTCTTGGCGCCTGCGCTACAGGGCTCCTTTGCATTTTTGAGCTTTTGCCAAAGCCCAGCCGTGGGTCCGTGAAACGGGCCTCGCTCTCTTCCAGTGGTGTTCCACTGATTGTTTTTTTGGTTGTTGGGGTCTTTCTAAATTCCATTAGTATTAGCAATACTAGTAGCATAAGCACTAGTATTAGCATTAGTATTAGCA